TGAATGATCTCATCTTTGGTCAAAATAAAGTTTCCAATCATTCGTGCCCCTCTTTCACCGTTCTTGATGATACTATCCTCACCGTGCCCCCCTGAGGCTCCTATTCCTTCTATTCTGTATTCGCCAGTGTGTGGCACAGTCCATTGTTGAATACCGCTGGACAATGTGACTTGCCCGTCGTGATTCTGACCTACGTAGTGACTTCCAATTTGGACTGGACCCGTAGTTCCACTCTTACCAAGAGTTGTAAACACTGCTGTAAATCCTATATAATAATCGCAAAATGAAAGGGCAAGTTATCGTACTGCTACGAAATTAATCGTCAAATTGTTTTGGGTACTGCCAATGTTGCACACTACGGCTTACAAAAAAGTATTCCTGTAAATTCAGCAGAATAAGATAACGAAGCAAAAATCTCCTGAAAATCCCACTAATAAGCAAAACTGACTAAGTTGACTATTTTCTTCCGAATCCAGTAATATCTATATCTTCATAACGGTATCTTCGCACTGGCTCTCGTAATGAACATAGAATTTACTTTAACCCCCAAATATGCTGTCACTCTTGCTGGTAACTCCTCGGAAACTGATAAATTCACTAAGCTGCATAGCTTTCAACGCCGCAAAATGCAAATCCGTTCGCATCTTTAAGAAGAAAACTCCTGGTTGGCCTTGATGGAGAGCGCTCGAGTGTGTACCTTACGCTCAAGACCTAAGCATCACTGATTCTCGTGATCTCCAATGGGCAGAGCATGCAGGAGAAATCACCTCAAAGGCCAACAAAACCTTTCGCGAATCAGGCGAGTTTTCCGCGATGTCAATGACATTTAGATAAGGAAGCTGCTGTGCTGTCCTGTGGTCAGACCCAAACTTAAATAATACTCCTGCCTTTGGTCTCTTTATTATACAGTCATCCAAACTTGAATAATGCTCTTGCCTATGGTCTCTTTAATATACAGTCATACATGGAGCATTAATTGAGAAAATCCAAAGGTCTCTGACTAAGTTTATTCTTAATTACCCACTGAATAACGTCTCTTATGCTGATCGGCTCGTTCTGATGGGCCTGCTGCCGGTAGAATGCTGTACAGAAATTAGGGACATTACACCCTTGTACAAGTTTAAGTCTGGTGCTATGTCCACCAGAAAAATATGGAGAGATAA